TATAAAATTTGCTTGTTAAAACCTTTAGTAATGCTAAAAAAAAATTTATGTGTACAGTTGTCACTTTATTTCGAACATTAAAATATTTTTCAAAATATTATAGGGAAATTGTTTCATTTACGTTATTTTTTTTTTGGCATGATTTTTATGTTGTATCGTGTTGTATAGGTATGAGAGAGTATGTTCGAATCGATTTGTTGTTTGTTTTATTACATTTTTTTTTACCCTGTTGTTGTTTCGGTTTGTTTTCATATTATTTAATGTGAAGATTGGAATTTAGATCAATCTGTATTTTTGTATATATAGCCGGAAAATAAGAAAAATAAAATATTTTTTCTCTCACTTTTTTTTTTTGTTTTACTCAAACTATTATTATTGAATACATACACACACAAAACACATATAAAATAAATATGTTAATTTTCAAGTCTATTTTAAAATTTATTTTGTATATTATTCGTGCACGCAATTATGTCAAAATAAAAGATTTTTCTTGTTGCTATTCTTTTTCAGTTTTAACCGACCGAAAATAAATAAAATTTAGAATGTGAGTGAGAAGAGAGCAAAAAACAAAAAAATGAAATTATTTTGTTAAGTATTTTTGGTTTTTTTCAAACCTCTATGGTAATTATAATGTAAAAAAAAATAAAAAAAAATTTCTAAATAAGTGGACAGAGAACATTTAAAAAAAAAAAAAGAAAACACGGAAAAAAAGTTTTGTTTTGCATTAATTATTGTCACTAAGGGTATTGTCCTTCTTTATTTGGAAAAATAAGGTACAAAAACAAATAAAAAATTCAAAAAAGTACCAGAAATGTTTAAACATACGAAAAAAAAATTTAAATATTTAAAAAAAGAATGCTGTATGTAGCAACACTGAAAAACACGTGAATATTAAATGATATCGCAAATTTAATATTCAAGTGGCATATGTCACAAAATGGGAATTTTTTAGGAATCAAAAAAAAAAATTTTATTTGCGAAAATTGTAGTAGGGTTTTAAATCAATTATTTCTCAAAATAGTGAACACGGCAGCGTTTATCCAATAACGAAATCCAATCTATTTGCATTAATAACTCAAAATTAAAGATTTTTAATATGCTACACTTTTCGAAATTGAGTGAAAATAACTGGTTGTAACTTTGTAATATTTTAAATTAGGCATTAACATAAATTTACCATATGATTTTAAAATTTTGTAAGTGGGTGTTTTAACAAAATTGTTAGATTTTTAAAATTCGGTATAAATTTTGATTCAATTGAAATTGCTTTTATGCTACACAAATTTTTTGATCCAATTCCAGTCAAATCTAATTTACATAATACTGAATATATTTTATTATTATACAAATAATACAAAAGATTATAGGTAACTAAATATTTTAAGCTTTTAAAAGTATTTTTTTTGGAGTATTTCTTAAATGATTTTTTGTAAAAGATATCAATTGGAGCCAGTTGTGTTTAATAATGCTGTAAAATCATCAAAGTATGACACATTTTGCGTTTGAATTTAATTCGAATAAATTATAATTTTTAAATTTATTTACTTGTACCAATTATGTGAGCATAATACGAAATTTAAATATAATAAAGGGCTTACTTAAAATTTGGTATTTGAGGCAATATTTTGCACAATATTTATTTGATAATTGTGTTCGTTTTCGTTATATTTTACTAATATATCTACCTAATTAATGAAACATAATTAAAATATAGGGTTTTAATTATAATTGTGTAATTGGAGCCTGAGAACGCTGAAATAACTGTTTCTGAACTAATTGGGCCGAAAACAAAGCAAAGAAATTAAAAATTGAAAGATTTCAGGCGAATTTAAAATTTTTAAAAAAATTGTTTGTAATCAGGAACGCGAGCTTTGTTTAAGAAACTTTTGAAGCCTATTTCGACAAATCCAATACCAATAAAATACAAAAATGTTTCTTAAAGAGCAAATACTCTGAATCTAAATTTAAAATTTTTTGTATATATTCATATTGGAGTAGGGAATCCTACTCTAGTTATTCTCAAAGATCCTTTATACTTGTAAACCGTATTCTAAACTCAGTCTGCCATACCCAATATTCAACTGTTATAAAACAAAAAGCTTTTATAATTATTCAAAAATTAGTAGTCTTCATACTAATTGTTAACATTATTTTTTATTGAATATAAAAAAAAAAATTTTTTTTTTTTTTTTAATTACCTACCATTTTTATTTATGGGGCACAAATTTTTCCAGACATTTTTCTTCTTTTTTTGTTGGAAAAACAAAATTTCGATTAATTTTTTCTAAAAAAAATATTTTTATGTTTAACGAAAGGCACAAAGCCTTTGAAAATATCATTGAGTTTTGATGTACATAGAGTTGCTTATGGTCCTTTTAAAAATAAAATTTATTTATTGACCAAATTTAACAACTTTTTTTTTTACAATTATTTTTCCTTTTTGTAATGTGCCTACTCTATATGACTCTATATTCTTTTTACTTTTATATCAATCATTTATTCCTCCAAAAGGAAAAAAAAAATAAATGTTCTTTGACTTATAAATCATCATTAATCATAGATTGAAAATAAAATGGAATTTATACATTAAAAAAAAAAAAAATAAGTAACAATAAAAGTTCAACGATACCAAACGATTTTATTGTATGGCATACATTTTACATACATGTAGTGTCTACATATATATCTACATATATATTGATTGATCACCAATGTTTATAAAATAATATTGAGTTTAATTTTAAGAAGCTTTGTGTAGTTAAGAGAGTATAAAGAGTTTTCTATTCTCAACTGACCAAAATATTTTTTTTTTTTAACAAGTCATCATTGTCTGGCCATCCTTTTTCTTTTTTTTTTTGACTTGGGTCCTCTATTCCTTAGGCCATAATTTATAAACTTTTATGTTCATAATTACATATGCGCATATGTATATACATATGTGTATATATTAATACTCGTATATGTATGTGTGTATTTAAAAAAAGAAGTTTTTCTCTTTATCGACTTGTTTTTGATAACAAATTTCAATAAATTTCGAAAAGTAAAAGAAGAAAAACAAAAAACTTAAAGAATTCTTTATCACAACCGGTCTTGTATGTCTGCACATTCATTACCTTTGAGATTTTATGTTAAATAACTGATTTAAAACTGTTTATTGTAATTGATCGATATCTGGTCTAATGTGAATGTATGAGATATAGCAGAAAATATGTGTAGTATATATAGTTAATTTGAATATTGTGGTGTTTAATTTTCCATCAAAAGAAAACTCCTTACAAAGAATTTTTTTCGATTTGAAATTTTAGAATTTACAAGTATATAGCATAATATGCACAAAATATGTACGTATGTGCCATAAGATTTCTCACAATTCGTAAAAAATTTTATAGTTTCAAAGCTCTTAATCAATTCTACATTATTTAATACAGTATAACAGATGACATTGGAGACAATTGCTTAAATGATTGTAATACAAATACCGCGTATACGCACATTTTTATTTTATACATAAATTTTCAGTTGACTGTTAAAGAAATTCATTTTCGTGATTATAAACGAGGGTGATTTGAAAATTATCATTGATGCTCGTTATATCAAGGACACAATACTTTAGTAGGGTGTTACCAAGGAATTATTTTTGAAATAGAACCAACAATTTTGTTTAAAATAATACGATATATTTAATAAATCATTAATTTTTTGTTGAAAATTGTATATGTACTTAATTTTAGAGCTTTCAATACTCATCCACCTTTTTTAAGGATTAAATTATTTCAAAGAGTACTTAAATTTTGAGATTTTAAGTAAATTAACTATTATACCTTTAATTTTATATAATATAATGTAACGATTCCGAGTTACGACTACAATGAAACGAGTGGAAAACTAAAGGAGTGAAAAGGCAAAAAAGTGCGACTAAAATTAAATAAAAGAAAAAAAAAAACAAATTTCCATCAAATCTTCATCAAATTATATTCCAAATATTTATTTCTTCTGTCTATAAGACGAACTATATAAAAGACAAATTTTATTTCATTTATAATTTAAACTTAAATCAATAAATCTTAATCAAATATTGACTTTATCTTATCTACACCGCCACTTATATTCGAATTATATTGTCTTCTACGTATATATATATAACAAAGAAAAAAAATTAAAAAATAAAACAGATTTGACAGATTTGAATAAAATATCGACTCTCATTTTGTCATCACTCAGGCCTATTTCAATCACTCACTCCTTTATATTAATCTTACACTCATATCTACGTTAAAATATTTTGATTCCTCTTCTCTTCTCTCTTTCCTTCTTCACTAACCTTTTCCACATTAAATTGTTAAAAAGAGACAATCTTCGTGCATTAAAATTCGTTTTTATCGCGCTCTCAAAATGCGTTCAATTTGTTTGTGCTGCACACACATTTATACTGTACAGTATGCAGTGTATATAAGGAAATAAAAATGCTCTCAAAAATCTACCTCAATTTATTGTTTCAGTTTTTTTTTTTTTTTGATTCTTTGTAAATATTTTTTTATTATTTAAGAGTAAATGAAATTATCTCACCTCTTGTTGTGTAAAGTAAACTCTCCACTGACAGTGAGTGAGTTTTTGTTCTTGTCTCTGTATACCTAAAGGAGAAAATTAGTTTTCTGTTTTTCTTTTCAAATTTTGTTTTTTCCTTTTGTAACTTTATTTCATTTTCCCTTTTTTTCTTTTTTTTTAATCATCCTCATCAGTCATGTTTCCAAAATCCAATCTCATTTTTTCTTTTGCTGTTTTAGAAAAATAAAAGATTACAATGCAAACAAAAAATAAAAGAAAAGCAAAAAAAAAAAAAAAATAACTAAAATGAAAAATTTGTTTTGATTATAATTTTTTTTTTCTCATTTTTTCCTGTATAAAAAATAAAAATAATTTTTCTAAAAAAAAAAAAATATTTTTCTAATTTTACGTTTTTCTCTTGTTTCTTTTTTTTTTAATCCACTAAATCGCAGCTCAACTACGTTCACCAAGAATAACAGAACATCCAAGTGATATAGTCGTACCAAAAAATGAGCCTGTCACATTGAATTGTAAAGCTGAAGGCAAACCGGAACCAACAATTGAATGGTTTAAGGTAAGTCAAAATAAATTATAGAAAAAACAAAAATGCTAAAATAACAAAAAAGAAAATGAAAAAAAATTTTTATTGAAATCCTTCAAATTATATATCACAGTTAAAACACAAAAAAATCCCAAAATAATAACAACGGGAATATAGAGAAAAAAATGTCCTTAAAATCCTTGGGGAATGATTTTTTTTTATATGTATAGAATGTATAGAAACGCCTAGATTAATTATGATAATGGCGAAGAATATTTTTAAGCAGAATAAGTGTGCTGTAATTTGAGAATAATGCTTTTAACCGCTGTGCAATACCGATTTTAAGGTTTTTCTTTATAAATTATAAATGTTTAATAATAAATGCTTCTACTGCCAACCAATAAATTTCGGACAATCGTGTTTTAAGATCGTAGTTGAAAAATTTTTATTATTTTATTGAATTCAGCTGAATTCAATGAATTTAGAGTTTTAAGCTATTTATATAACACTATAAAATTTTAAGCTCAAAAACACTTTAATAAAAAGCAGGCATAAAAGAAAATTACATTTATATCGAACATTTGCGAGGAAATTTCTTCATATACCTGTACAATATTCGGGAATTTGATGTTACGTATCATTTATTAGAACCTACATCAAATAGAAACTACAGCAATCATTCATTAGAACCTATAGGAATTATTTCAAATTCTAGTATACAGCATCGCGACTACTATAACAGAATGTTCAATTATTTCACTCAAAATCGGAATACGTAAGCTATAACTGGAAAAGTTTTTGGTAAAATTCGTGAAAATTGCAAGTTTAAGAATCGTTATTGCTACTGTGTAATTAGTCTGCTTTTGTAATCAAGTTGCCTGTTTTGTAATCAAATAAATCTATATTGTTTTTACATTTTCTAAACAGACTGTACAAATTCTTACAACTAAACAAAATTTGCACAATAAAATGATAAATAAAAGTTAAAAACAGGACAGAAATACAAAAAAAAAAACAGAAAAGAAAACTTAAGACGAGGAAATAAAATAAATTTGGTAAATAAATCCTTGAAGCATTAAATTGTTTACTTTGTTTTGATGTATCGTAATGTTCTTCTTCTTTCCTCCTTCAATACATAGAGTATTCACTTTACTTTCTCTTTTTAATATTGGAAAAAAAGAAGCACAATAAAAAATAATTGAAATAGAAATGAAGACAAAAAAAAAAAAATAAAGAAATTCAAAAATAAAATCTGAAATGAAATTTACTTTTAAAAACAATTCTTTTAAAAAAAAAAACAACAAAAAAACCAAACAAACACACCAAAAATTGAAATGCGAAATAATTTTTCGTCCTTGAATGAAAATTACTTTAGACTACCTATATACGAGTATACAAAAAGTGGAGGTACGTACATTGTTGTTTTTTCGTTATATTTTAATATTTTTAGTTTACTTTTATGGAATCAAGTATACCACATACACATACACATTGGCTTAGCATGAAACTGAAATGAAAATTCTAATAATTTTTTAAAGGTGAACCTGAACATGCCGTTATTGTAATTTGACTTTACTTTATTCTATAATTTTGCATTTTTTTCTTTTGATTTTTAAGAATTCACATTTTTTATAAAGAATTTCTATGGGTTTGAGAAATAAATGGAATTTTAATATTTTTATAACAGTGATGCATAAACAGAAAAAAAAATTTTTTTAATTTTTTGAAATTGTCGAATTTTTTTTTAGATTTATGAAAAAATTCGCCTAACAGTATGCTAAAATTTGAATTTATCGAATTAAACTAAAAATATTAAAGTAACAAAAAAATTCTCAAAATGCATAAGGTAATTTTTGCCCCACATTTGTTTCAAATACACTATTCAGCTTTAAAAATCAAAATTCTTTGTATGCCATCGTACAAAATCGGTTTATTAACTCGGTACAATTTAATGGATTTTTATGATTTTACTGGCACATCTTAATGAAAATCTGCAATTTATGAATTGTAAGTCCACAATTTAAGAATTGAATTCAAATTCAATTTTGAATTTGAATTCAAACAAATTCTCCAACTTTTAGAGTACAAATTGACTCGGTATTAGGTTAATTTCAATTTATCTGTTTAAAGACAATTCTGATCCATTGTTACCCATTATTACCCATTTTTTTCTACATTGAAGTTATTTAAATACAAATATAATATGTTCTCATTTGGTGGGAAATCAGAATTTTTAATTTTCAAATCATTTTTTTCACTTAAAGAAATTTTTTTTCTTAAATTTTATATTTTATTAAAATAATAAGGATATCAAAATTTAAAGTACCTAATATTTAATTTTAACATTTTTGTGTATATTAAATTCCTTGAAAATTTATATTTATGTACCATAATAAATTACAAAAAAAAGAAGATTTTTATAAAAACTGAAACTTAAGCTTCTTTTAAATTTCATTTTCATTCATTTGAACTTTGAATTTCAACAACGATATAGAAAAATGTAGAAGTCATTGCAATAATAATTCTATTGACCCTTGAAGAATTTCGTACTGTTCGGAATAAAATTTTTTTAATATTTAAGGCTTATATCTTGTTATTTTAACCAATACTTATTACGGGTCATTCAGTGATTTTGAATAAATTACATTACAATACAATCATTTATAATTGAGTATTTCAATGTCCATAAGAATATTATCAGGATCTATAACAATGACGTAATTTAATATGCTGCCATATTATACTCTCAAATTTGATGAGAAAGAAAATGTTTTTTCTTATAAATGTAGAGAATTTTTATTTCATCAATTTTACGATCTCAATTTTTAAAAATTTTTTATTTCTAGCTATAAAATTAAAAAAAAAAAAAATCAAAAATTCCAAAATTTCCCGAATTTATTTTTACGCTAATCGTATACTCTATTTTAGGAATCTATTTTAGAATACCTTTGTATTTATAAACTTAATTTTTATAACAAAATAATAAAGAAAAATTTTACGACAAATTAATTATATAGCTGTTTTTTTTATTATTTGTAATAATAAAGGATTTTTATAAAATTTTTTGACCGTAAATTTTTAATAAAATTTTACAGCATTTTAATTCCATTACTTATTCATCGTAATACCCCATAAATATGCAATATTTTCTATAAATAAATATTTTTAAGATTACCACTAGCTACATACAATATTATTGTTAATTTTAAATAATAAAAATGTTATTTTAAATTTTTTAATTGTTATCCCGAAATTAATGAAATTTACATGAAATTTTAAATCGTAAAAAATGAAATTTTAAAATTTAAAAAAAATGAATAAAAAATTTTTTTTTTTAATTTCTAAATAGCTAGCTGGGTATGTAAGATATTTGAAAATATAAAAAACAAATCCTCAATTAATTGACCATTTCGTTTTTCAATTTTAAAAATACATAATTGAAAAAAAATCACTAGATATGCATAAATAGCTTAAAAAATTTAATTCTCTGCAAGACAATGTTAAAAGCCCTGTTAGTATTTACTAAAGGAAAACTTAAAAAAAAAAAACAGAAAATATAGAATATAATAAATCATTTGTGAAAATTTGGTGAACTTAGCTCAATTAGTTTTTGTGTTATCGTTGGGACGAATGAACGGACGGACGGACAGACGGACAGACAAAGCTAAATCGACTCAGAATTCGACGCTGATCAAAAACATATACTTGAGTCTATATCTAAGACTATTATTTCTCAGCGTAAAAAACGGTAAGGAAAATTTAGTATACACTTCGAACATACGTTCGTACGGGTATTAAAAATTATTGGTGTTCAAAATTTTTGACACTGGAAATTGTTTTCTCTAAAAAGATCTCTTCCGTTTTCATTCTAACTCAATACATTTTTATGTTCTAAGTTTCAGGTTTTCCATTTTTATACCCAAATGGTTAAAATTCTTCATTCGTCCCTTTTCTCAAAGACTATTAAAAAAACCAAAATTTTAATACAAAAGTAGAGTGTCCATTTTTTTTTGTTTTTTTTTTTTTGCATTGTCTCACCCTACTCTACGGTTATTATCCTATAAACTTAAAATGTACATATAAAATGAAAGCATTTGGTTTCCTCCCCAATAAAAAGAACAAATAAAGTTCGAATAACTTCAATATTATAAAACCGTTTTAAATAAAAAAATAAAAAATAAAAAAATTAAATAAACTAATAAATCTTTTTTTTCTCTCTTTTCTTATTTTTTGCAATTTTCTTCAACTTTCTTATACAATACAATGAAAATATTTTGCAACGCGCCTAACACACACAAAAAAAAATTTTGGAATGTTGCAAAAAAAATCCTGGACAAAAACCATAAAATCAACAAAAAAAAAATTGTTTTTCTTGTTTTGTGGCAATTTTTACAATTAAAACAACGCCAACTTAACAATACAAATGGTATTACACCATATACAAATACCGTTATTTCTAACTGTATATAAATCAACCCGTTATAAAATAACAAAAATGTAATATAAACTTTGAAAAAAACATTAAAAATTGTAACAAAAACAACGAAAATAACAACCAAAATACAACAAAAAACAACAAAAAAAAAAAAGGATGGCGAGCCAGTAAAGACAAGCCCCAATGATAATAAATCTCATCGCGTTTTATTACCATCCGGATCTTTATTTTTTCTAAGAACTGTTCATGGTAAAAAAGAACAAGATGGTGGAGTTTATTGGTGTGTTGCAAAAAATAAAGCTGGTAAAGTCAACAGTCGTAATGCTACGCTTCAAATAGCAGGTGAGTAATTTTTTTTTTCTCTTTTTATATTTTTATATTATTATTATTCTGTTTTCATTTCTTGAAAAAATAAATGAAAAAAAAATGTTTTTTTTTTTGATATTTTTATTGTATAAACACTATAACTTGTATAGAAGCTATAGAAAATAAAAAGAATTCATTATTAACTTGAGAATTGTATAGAAAAAGAGTTAAGAACATTTGAATAGGGTTAGATTATTTCATAAATTTTTATCGGAGAACTTTGCTAATACTGTTTATTAAACACAACTATTTGAACATGGTTAAAGTAATTTCTAAGTTTATGCTTTGACATATGTACGCTTACAGAAAAAAGTGTGAAAACATCGGGTACGTGTATTATCTATTTTACGGTATTCCTTAATGAAAATGGATGAGTTTTATTTGCCTATGTTCTAATTGAGAAAAATGAGAGCTAAAATATTATATGATGAGTTGTTTTCCTTATTTTTTCTAAAAAATTTCGGAGATAATGATCAAATTTCAATTATTCTCAGTTCTGATTTGGATGGCGAAAAATTCGACCTATATTTTAAAATTTTTATATAACTTGATATTAAGAAGTAATATGCTTGTTTAAATTAATTCATCTTATTTAGAGAATTTCATGAGAGAAATTGAGATATTTAGTCAAAATAATGAGAAATTTAATAAAGGAATGAGCTAAAAATCAAATTAATATGATGAGAATTAGAACGCTCCCATAATATCTCTCAATATTTTTTCTTCCCCGATGAGTAAATAATGATGTCAACAATTTAAATCGGTATATAAGTTGATTTACTTTCTCATTTCTGCTATATAATTTGATTACTTTTATGAGTATGGCTCCAAAATTATAGAATTTTAGATTTTGAGAGCACCTACATCTAATCTTATGTACTTTGAGAGCACCTAATGTAAATCTAATGTATTTATGCTTACCTATATGCTTCACAATAAATTTCTGCTTGTTTGCATTTGCTTCAATAAATGTTTTCCTTCATCATACAGTCTTGTCCTTTACTTTCATGTCTTAGCTAAAATAAAATGATTTTAATGTTACTATTCTATTTCAATTGCAGAGACTGTAGTAAATTTTGAAATCCTTATTTTTTTTGGTTCTGGTTTAAAATATTTCAAAGTCGACAGGAGTAAAGAAGAAAATTGGAATTTATTTTTTCTTTTTTTTTTTTTTTAAATCCTTTTATTGACTTTTTACTTTAACTTAGATTTTCTTTTAGTTGTTCTTTTAGTTTTTTGTTATTTCTTTGAAATTATGTAGGTATAAAAATAACAGTATGTAATTGTATAAAAAATTTTTTGTTCTGACGGCTACTTTTTGATTCCGGTTATCTTTTCTTTTGGAAAAAAGATAATATTTGCGATATATATATATATTTGTTTTTCGTTATTAAGACGTTGTCATATTAATAAGTAGCTGAATATTTGAGCGAAATGTTGGAAGGAATTGAGTTTCGTTTTAAGATCTGTTATAGCAAAGGTGCAATTATTTGAGATTCTATTTCAAAAATTTTACCAGTTGTATCCGGTTTTTAATCAATTGTATATTAAACACCAAAATATTATCAACAAAATCTCCAAATAAAACTTTAATAAAATTAATTTTTCGAGCCATACTTGAATGTTCTATTTCGGTGTTTTTTTGCGGGATTTAAATATTTGAAAGTGAATTTTATTTCAAGAAAATATGTTTGAAAGATTTAAGGCTTTCTAAGCGGAACTTTTTTTAAAATAAACCTTAAAATAAGAGTATAGTTGCGGAGTAGACACTAGCTTCCATATCTATACCAAAAATTATAGGATTTTGAGTGTTTTTTGAAGTTTTTCATGTACCTAAGTATTATATTTGAGTGAGATAAAATCTAAAAACGTATAACAAGGACCATATTTGGAAATATCCTTAGCATAATATATCCATGTAATGCTCAGTAACATTAGTATGTACAATATATACACGGTCTATGTATTGAATAAATTGTTTTCTATTCAAACAAAAAATTTATGTAGGCACCTAGGTACAATATTATTTTTCAAATTTCTACTATTCCTGTACTCTCATACAAAATCAAAATAATATAAAAGGTACCCAGACATTCGCCGCTATTCTTATCTTTTGATTCCATTTTTTAACTTTTTGGTTTAAAATTTCAAAAAAAAGTAAAAAATTATTTTTTATTTTTCATATTTTTTTTTTAATTTTTCTTTTCATTGTACTCAAATTTTTTCATTCATGTTATACCTAGCGAATTACTTGAAATAAGGATACTTTTACATCTTTTTTATTGAAGAAATAATTTTTTTTTGTAATTCATATTGGATATTACAAGAATATAACGAGTGGAGTTAAACACGGCAATAACCGGGAAAAGGACAAAAATAAAGAAAAAATTTTCGCATTTATTTCCACTATAGGACTGTTAAGCAGCATTCATAATTTTATGTATAATTTGTATGCAAGGATTATCTACAAAAAAACACAAAAATTGAAAATTATGTAAAATTAAAATGAAAATTTTTATTTAAGAGTAGATAATTATTTTTTTTTGTATGATTTAATTATATTTCTAGTAAAAAAAAAATAAGAGGAGCATCAAAATAGAATAAAGAAATAAAATTTTAATTTGGTATGAAAATTTGACCTTTAGAGAGGATCTTTAAATAATTAAGAAATTAACAAATTAAAATGTTTTGAGAGAAAATTATCATTAACTTATTTGAATTGCATATAATTTTTTTAAAGTAAAAGTAAAATGGAACGATAAAAGTTCAGAAGAATTCGACAATATGCAAATTTAATGTTTTGGTAGTAAAACTTTTATAGAATGTTATTTTAACGATCCTGGAGTAGGTAATTAGGAAATAGCTGCTGAGAAATTCATAGTTTCTAAAATAAAATATTTTCTTTTGAAAATAAAACCCGAATTAACATTAGTGTGTACAATCAATAACGACTATCATAATTATTTAATATTGCATACATTTAGGAGAAAATTTAAAATGAAAACTTGGAAAAAAATTGCAATAACAAAAAAAAAAATTTAAATTTGATTTCCGATGAATTCCTAAAAATATTTCAAAGATTTCATGATAATAGGCTGTTGCAAAAATATTTTTGGAGATATTTAAAAAGAACTTTTGGAAAACTTTAAACGCGTTTTCTGCCTAAACCAGAAGAGATAGAGCAATTTTAAGTGTTTTTTGTGATCACTGAGAGTGCACAGGTTCTGCCAATATATGATAATAGGCTACAACAAAAATATTTTCGGAGATATTTAAAAAGAACTTTTGGAAAACTTTAAACGCGTTTTCTGCCCAAAACTAGAAGAGATAGAGCGATTCTAAGTGTTTTTCGTAATCAATAGGAACTCACACATTTTTTATTTCAAATTTGTAGTTCTTTTATTTTCATAATACAAAATATTATTTTTCCATTATAATAAATGCAATAATCCAAATAAAATTTCCGAATTAAAAGTATTTTTTGTAGATATTCTATTATTTTAGATTCAAATTAAGAATACCATTAAGAAAAAATAATGTTAAATCCATTTTGTTGTTGTTTTTCCTAAAATATTCACGTTTCTTGCATTAAAAGATTGCATTCTTTGTCTTTTCTCTTACATGAAAATGAAATTCTTAATTTTTTTCTTGTTGCATTTTCTATTTTTTTAAATTTTCTATTACTCTGAATTCCCAAATAAATGGGAAAAACTATTTTAATTCAATTTAAATACCATTTTTTTTTTCATCTTAATTCAAATGGTTTATTACTTGGAGAGGTTAAAAGTATTTTAATCCAGAAAATTTATGTTCACCACCTTGATGCTTTTGTTGCCATTCGTGTTTTTCTTTTATTTTTGTTTTCTTTTGTTTGTTTTTTAAGGTCTTTATGGTTATATAATAAATTTTTTTAAAGATACTAAAAAAAATTTTCAATTCTTTAATCTTTTTCTTTAGAATAACAAAATAATTTTGATTTTTTCTTAAAAGAATTAAAATTGTTTAAGAAAAACCTCAAGTAATTTTGTGGAAACTAAAATAATTAAAAAATTTTTAAATCTTTATGAAATAAAGAAAATTAAATTACAAAATGAATTAAATTTGAGAAATTAAGAAAACCCAAATAATTTTAAAAATTAAATTGCAATAGAAATTATTGCATTTTTTCAGGAATATTTCCTGCAGATTGTAAAATAGCAGTTATTACAGTTGAAAAAATTCTTTAAATGAATAGTAAATTAAAGTTTGTTTTATTAATTTTACTAACAATTTGGTTGAAATTATTTTTTCTTTTGAAAATCTCATCTTTTCGTCAAAAATAAATTGTTTTTAATGCCTTAAGTTATAATTTAGGGAATAGAATTTAAAATTTGCTTTCAATATTATGAATCCATAGTAGTTATGTTTGTTAATCCTGAAATCATTTGAATAAGAAAATCTTTTGCATAGGCTGCATAAATTAAAAACAATTCCATATATAATTTTATCGAACCTAAATAAAAATTTTATAAATTCACAGAACATGTCTAAAGTGAAATGAACATCTTACATTTTTTGATAGAATAACTATTAATTATATAGTGTTAAGATTTAATTAAGAAAATCAGTTTAGAATCGGAGCGTTAATTATTGTATAAAATATTTGTCAATTTCTGCAACAATTGATTTTAAATTGTGCGAAGTGATGCGAAATGGTGCAAAATGGTGCAAAGTGGTGCAAAATGGTGCAAAGTGGTGCAAAGTGGTGCAAAGTGATGCAAAATAAAGTGAATTATTGTTAACTCCATATAAAACATGAAGATAGAAACCTGCATTTTCACACAAATCGATCTTTGCCGGAAATATGTATTTCTTTGTAGAAAAATTATTCGTTTCCCCCTTTTAACTTGTTTTGACTCAATAAAATACAATTTTTCTTAGCAAATGTTTTTAGTTGTTAAAGAGACATGTGCTCATTTGCTAACCCTATTGATTTG